CCCCAAAACCCCAAAACCCCAAAACCCCAAAACCCCAAAACCCCGAGTAGAATGTTGAACAATGAATGTGAATTATGAAAATAATGCTAATTGAGATAAATAACAATCATAATATAAAAAATTAAATGGACAAAGAATCTCCAGAGGAGCGTCTAAATAAGGTAGAAATTAAGCCAGTTGAGAAAGAGTGTCTCGAAAGAGTGTTCGATCACTTAGGTAATGATAACTAAGCATAGATTTATATCTTATCCTACTATAGTTACTATTACTTAAAATTAAAAACATGAGGATTTTAAGAAAAAAATAAGCTCAGCTGATCTCATGAAAAAACTGCAAGAACTTGGAAGCAAACCCACAAAAGCAGAAGTAGACCTTATGATTTGGGTAAATAAATATCATTTGATAGTTATAAATTTGATTTTAGGAGGTAGATGATGATCTTGACAAACACGTAAGCAAAGTAGAGTTTGATAAGATGTATAAACGTTGCATTTCAGATGAAAGTGGTCTAGAACCCAGAAAACTTTACAACTTAGTTGTCTTCTTAATGTTTGACAAAGCATTTTAGGGAAAGGTCACAGTTGAAGATACTCTACAGCTACTTTATGTAAGATATAAAAGAGATAGACTTGATGATGAAATCAAAGCTATTTTTGGAGAGAATGAAAAGACTGAAGAGGGAAATGAGAAATTCATTGAATATCATGACTATATTGAAAAAATTAATCATAGAGCTATGGAGGAACGTAAAAAGCGTAAAGCTGCTCTTAAAGAATATTGGACTAAGAAGCATGGACTTCCAACCAGTGAGCATGATGGCAGCAGATAGTATTGATTTGAATTAAATCATTAATTGCCTTGATTAGCTGGCCATTTATTGATGTTGATACTGATATGACAAATTGAAATTTATGTTTAGTAATTTAGAAACTTCTTTATTTAAAGTAGATTAATTATATATATGAAAATATTCAAAGTTTTCTGAGTCCTAGGAACCCCTCGGCTCCAAGTTCCCCACTAAATGATAAGCTAATTCTAGCTCTAGCAGGTAAAGCTATAAAATCTATGAGAGTTAGTCCAGCAAGATTTCCTGCAGAGTGTTTTCCCATACCCTTGAGTTTTCCAGAGGAGTGATGAATAACATAACTTGAAGAATTTACTGCTGACAAGACAGCTTCTCCATTAACTAATAATTATATTGTAGGTTTCTTTGCGGAATAAAAGCCAAATGTTATTTCATAAAGTCCAGGAGCAACTGTTAGAATTAGAGTTTTATCCTCATCCCAAATAAAGTTTTCTGGGCATGTATTTACGCTTTAAACTTCCCATGGAATGGCGTATCCATTTATTAATTCCCCTGATTTCCATAGCCATCTTCCAACACAATTTTCAGCACAGAGTGCCTCGTTTATGGTGTTTTAATCATTGAGAGCGTCTCTAAACTCTCTGTTTGGTACTTTAATTGCTATTTCCTCAGACATCTCACTTAGTGCTTTGTTAACATCATCAATATCTAAATAAAATAAGCCTTTATTGATCTTTACTTGACTTCATATCTAGTAACGCGCAAACATCTTTTATATTACTCTTTTGTAGTAAGTGATTTTATAACTCCTCTATTTTTTTCCTCAAAATCTCATCAAATTCATCAAAGTCTAAATATAAATGATGCAAAGAGAAACTTACCTCTTGCTTCAAGTTTAGATTATACTTCTTTTAATAATCTATCAACTTTGTATTGTATTTCTACTAATTCAGACTTCAGAGCAAGCTGTGTTTGAATTTCTTTGTACTCAGCTTTATGGCTAAGTGCTTCTTGAACATCCAATAAATTGACTTTTCTTTCAATTGACTTGTATATTTCGTTTTCAGATTAATGCATATCGTTCTTCACTGATTTCTTGAAATCAGCAAGTTGTTCACATATATCATTTTAGCAGTCATTTAGAGCCTATTGAACCTCTTTGAGGTCTGGCTTATTGTCAACAATAGTAGTCAACTTAGCCTTCACTTCTAACAACTCATTGAGTGAACATTTATCCACTAGGTCTCTTCTCAGTCTATCAACTTCCTATTGCATCTTGATCAATTCCTTTTGTTGATCTGCTTTGCCATTGTTGATGATTTATTTAATGAAATCAGCAGTCTCCTCAATATCCTTCTTTCTTTCATCTTAAAGTTGCTTGAATTGATCTCTAATGAAAAATATTTCATCAAGAGCTCTTTCACTATTCATCTCAGCCTTAGTTACTCTTTCTTCTGATTTTTCATCTTTATGCTTTCTAGTATAGCTGAATTCATTGAAATTCTAAGTAAGCATCGCTTGACAATCTGCTTTTAACTTGTTAGATACTGTTTAGAAATATTCATGGTCAACTTTCTTCAATAATGAGTCTTTCATTGAATCAAGTAATGTATAATCAGCCTTTTTATTTAAAGATTGAAGGAATGAAGTTTTCAAACTTTCCAATTCCCTTTGCATGCCAATAATGAACTCATCTAGATCCTTCTCCAAAGATTTCTGTCTCTGTTCAAATTCTAACTTTTAGTTTTATACTGCCATTACATACATGTCTATATCAGCCCTATCAGATTTAAGAGCAATATCCTATTTAAGAGAATAAAACTCTTGCTTCTCAGATTTTTAATCAAGCAGTCTCATCAATTGATCTATTTGGGAATTATCAGCTTTCTATTCAATTAAATTTATGATTTTCTCAAGATCACTAGCATCAGCTTTAGTCTCAAGAATTTAATCCATATCTGATCTATTAGCTTTACGATGAAGAGCATTTGCTACTGATTGCTTATTAGCCTTGTTTTACAAACTTTCATTTACATCATCAATGTTAGCTTTAGTTTCTATTACAGTTTGAAGGTATGAGAAATCCTTTTGAAGAGCGCAGTTTGTTAATCTCTTAGAGAGATCTCTATAAATGTCTTCAATTTTAGCATTCATAGATTGAAGCTCAAGGTTAGTTTCATGCTGATTAGCCTTATTCTCCATTATCTTTTGCATTTCCTCCACTGATATTTTATTGGATAGTAAATATTGAAGATCTGTCTTAGATACTTTGTCGTCAATAATACTTTACACCTCTTCGAAAGTTAGTTTATTCTCTATTGATGAAGCTACTTCTGCAATAGTTCTTGAAACATCTGATACATTAGCTTTAACTGAGAGACCAGCATTAAGCTCAGATTTGTTTGCCTTTGTTGGGACAACTCTTTCAAGTTCTCTAATTGCTAAACCTTATGATCTAATCACATCACATACTGCTTTCAAAGTCAATTTGACAATATCTTGAATGTTTTTCCATTCATTCGAACCCTATATTCAATTCAAATATGATAAATTACTGATAGCAAGTCTTATACAATAGCTGGAGCATATGGATCCAGTTCTGTTTAATGCCCAGATGCATTATTAAGCTATGTAATTGTGTTATAACCAAAATTCTAAGAATTATAACCACCTCCCATATTTGGGTTATCATTTTGAGAGGGGATTCTCATTCCATATTTGTTGCTGTTTGGGGAATATGCACTCATTTCTAATTTAAAATTTAAATTCTAGTTATAGCAACATCATCTAACTAATGGGGTTTTGGGGTTTTGGGGTTTTGGGGTTTTGGGGTTTTGGGGTTTTGG